CTAAGTATCTCATAAATTTTCATCTTAATTCTACCTGATATTCAATTCAGTATTCCTATGTATATTATCACTAAACATGCATCTGAACTGTAATCTATTGACTTTAACAACTCAGTATTTTGTAAAAATCAGTGTTACCAATAAGAATTACTCCAACTTACGGAATCCTTCGAAGTGAGGACAGGAGTAAGACATGGCTGCCTACTATCGCCAATGATTTTCCTGATTGCAGTAGACTAGATAATGCGACAAACAGTGGGCAATCACGAAACAGGCATAAAATGGACTCACACAAAAAAAAACTTGGAGGATCTGGACTTCGCCGATGATATATGTCTGATTTCCCACAAACTGGAAGATATGCAAGTGAAAAGCAACAAGTTGGAAGAAGAAGCAGCAAAGATAGGACTTCAGGTGAACATAGAGAAAACAGAGGTGATGAAGATTCCTGGTCAAAACCAACAGCAACAACAACAACAGACAACAATCAGCATAAATGGAAGGAACCTGAAAGAAACAATCTCCTTTTACCTACCTGGGAAGCATCGTTTCAACTACAGGCCAACGGAACTGACGAGGATATCAAAGCAAGAATCGGGAAAGCAAGACAAGCTTCCACTACTCTCAAGTCTGTGTGGAGGTCAACAACACTCAGCATCAAAAATAAGATCCGAATTTTCAACTCCAATGTGAAGTCAGTGCTACTATACGGATCACAGACTTGCACTGTGCGTCATAAAGAGCATCTCAAACAAACTACAGACCTTCATTAACAGTTGTCTTCGCTCAATGCTACTCAAGATCAGATGGCCGGCCAGAAAAGATCAGCAATAGGGATCTCTGGCAATGAGCGAACCAACACAGCAGGAACCGATTGTGAAACAAATAGACAGGAAGAAATGGAGATGGATTGGCCATACTCTGAGGAAACCATCAAGTGACATCACTAGACAAGCCATCACTAGAGTGGAACCCGAAAGGGAAGCGGCGAGTTGTTCGTCAGTGCAAGGGTGACTTGGAGGAGGTCGTGTGAAGAGGAGATGAAAGCATGTGGGCAGACTTTGAGCCAGGTGAAGACTCTAGCAGAGAACCGAACGCAATGGAGAGGCACGGCTGAAGCCCTATGTTCCTCTAGGAATTAAAGGAAATAATGGTAATAAATTACGTGTATACATAACTGTACAACCAGATGAGGAAGAATATTCTTTCTTCAGTCATTTTGCATGATAAGCATTTCAATGGGAATTTCTGCAGCGATCGAAGATGCAAGTCACTTTTGATATTTCCAGTTCCTTGTAAGATCTTAACTCTATTTATTTGTTAACTCTTTCAACATACCAGAGCATTCATTTAGCATCGCTGTAGTGTTTTCACCTGTGTTTATTACAGTACGAGATTTCTTGTCAACGGTTCGTCTTCTGTGTTGTTTTCGTGTGCCAGTGGTACTAATGTTGCTGACGTCACTATTATCAATTACAGTAGTTTTCATTAGCGCAATAGGTTCGCAGAGCTTGCAGTCTAATACGTCGTACTATCAATCACAAGAGAAATAACTATGAACATAAGCTGAAAGAATAAGAATTTGAAGTAGATAGGCACACCGAATCCTGTTCTTTTCATATTCATTACTAGTTTCAGTTTCTTTTCTGTGAATGTTTGTTTGGGTCCCCTGTTAGTTCAACTTTTCCGCCTAATTTTACTAAAATCTCATCACAAGATTCATTTATCTAACACGGTTGGCACACTAAGTGATATCAAGTACTTTTTATTTATTAATTTTATCATTATTTCTTCCTTTTGGGTTCCTAATGGAAATTACAGCTTCAACAATACATCTCCACTTTATTCTATTTTCTGCTGTCTTCGTTAGAAGGGCCCACGACTGACCATAATCTGTCATCTCTTCCTCATACGATCTCCTCCATGTCACCCTAGGACGACCCACTCGTCGCTTCCCATTTGGATTCCACTCGAGTGATGGTCTGCATTACGTGCGATGTCATTCGTCGGCCTCCTCAATGTATGCCCGATCCATCTCCACATTCTTCTACATATTTGTTGAGCGATCGGCTCCTGGTTGGTTTGTTCCCAGTCAGAGTTTCTAGTTGCTGATTCTTTCTGGCCAGCTAGCCATTTGATCTACAGCATGGAGCCAGCGAAGCGGACAGCTGTTGACAAAAGTCTACACTGGTCTGTTAGAAATGCTATTCGTGATACGCAGTGCAAGTTTCTGACCCGTATAGAAGCACTGGCTGACTTCACATTTATATATATATATATATATATATATATATATATAAGCGGTTTGATAAATTGAAAATTTACGTTTCCATCCGTGTCTTGCCTTCTGCTGTTACATTTGATGTCTCTGCCTGCCAACAAGTGGAAAGCCTGTGCCCTGCAGTTTTTAATGGAGACATAAAGATCTTGTACGTCTGCGAAACTGTTGCGGAGTTGAATGTCGTTCAAGATCCGTCAGCGATGAGGCTATTACTTGGAATGCTGCTGAGAGGTCGGGTGAAGCTAATACGCGCCAGGGTCACGCAAACTGCTTCAAAAGTGGGAAGGACCATACACGATAACCGCGAGACGGAGCCATGTATATATATATCATCAGAAGTACAAACAAAGAGAAGTAAGTGAACGTCAGCAAGCTCCGGACACAGAGATCGGTTTCCCGATCTCAGACAGCATCAATTCGGTTTTGATTGTAACAGAATTGACTGATAAAGTTTCAGTGTAGAACTTCGCCCAAAAGTGCAGCAGTTCACGTCATCACATTTCGTTAGTATACAAAGGTAGAGAGATAAAATGTACAAGAGTAAGAGCTGCACATGGGACATAATGACAATCTGATGGATGTAGGAGGTCACAGAGTCAGTGGAAACATTTGCATCACTGAGAATCACTTTAGGCCATGTCCCTAACAGTTTGAACTCCCAAGGACCTCAGCCACGTAGTCTATACCACCCAGAGTGGCTAAAGCCATCAGTCAGAAACTTCAATGATTAATGTCAGGTTTTCGCGTGACCACCCTCAAGTCTTTTCGAAATTGATCAAATGTCAGTTAACATTAGTCAAACAGGTTAACGAAGGCTTGGGATGTGCAGCATAGGTCCTAGCAATCTCAACCAATCAAGCGAATTAGTAATCTGTATAATATCAGATGTAAAGCTGTTTGTCCTAAAGCACAAACTAATCCCCTAGGATATTTTTCTATCGTCTCCTGTGGTTTCAAACCCAATCAAAAATGTGTGCGAGTATATTTTTCTACTTCAGAAAATAATTGAATGGATGAACAAAACAAGAATCAGAGAAAATATGACACATTGCATGGGATGGAAAGTCAGGTACTCCAGTGATTTAAGCAGGTCACCATCACTATTGGTAACACAGACTAGTGTATGTCGTACTAACTTTTGCTTTACGACTGAGAGTTTCATGCCACACAACTCACTGGTGCTCATATTATATTAGCAACATCTTCATTCTGGCCAGTAATTATAAAACCTACAGAATCTTCAAGAGTTCATTTTACGAAATTTCCCTTCGTACAAGATCTTCAAGTAAAATATTAATTGACACTATATCCTGTGACACAGTGGTCTCTGAGCTTAAGCACAAACCATTCCATTATGACATATCTGCTTTGTTTCCTTCAAGAAATCCAAGACATGTAGTTGAAAACCAATTGTAAGATGTTCAGAAGGACATTTTGACACCCAAGGACATAACTTGCAGGAGATGCAGACTTCCAGGTTGGGGCCCTCGAGACTCTAAGAATCAATGGCTGGAGACAATAGGTGACATGGCTCAAAATCGTTGTCAGTGGCACAGATGTATTCAGTCTCTGTAATATTCAGTCTCATATTCCTTTCTACCATTACTCATTCCGTTTCACTCTTATACTTGTCAAAACTCTATTGATTCTCTTCACCCATCTTCTTGTCTACATTTGTGTGCTATTTGGAACGTGGCAACTGGAACTGCTACACTTCGGTGCCAAGTTCTATGTTGAATCCAGACAGACAGACAGAAGCACATAACTTGCGAACAGATATTTCATGTATTAGGACACGTTGCCACTCACAAACAGGCCATTCCTCAAGTCTAGTAGGAACTTGTGCATCAGCAACTTGTAAACGCTTTAAATACACACAAGAGTAGAAAATACCATGAGAAGTCATATCTTAATCAATTAAAACAACCGAACGAGAGAAAACATACGCAATAGAGAGATGGAAGTTTTTGCCAGCCCGTTTTAGGCAGGCTTAAAACATAACAAAAAGATCTATTCTCATTCCATGTACGGCATGAATGACATCGGATGACTGGAGGTGCATAGTTTCCTATGCGGTCACATGATCATAGTGACGAGACAGTGAATAATGCGACAGTGTGCAATTCAAAAGTTGTCGAAATTACTACGACTAAAGACATTTTCAACTAAAAAAGTTGTTTACTTGTAAGTAGTATAAATAAATGTATAAAAATTGATCGTAATTCTGACCACGAACTACTGAAGATCAGGGAATACTGCAAAACTCTTTCGTCCTAATTTCGGACTCTTCTCCAGTACACACACATCACCCCATTGAGGATAGAACCCAGGACCTTCAGGTTGTAACGAGAGTTCGTCGACCATCAAACAATGGGCGAAAGATAATGCTCCATCAATACTACTTTCTGCTAATTTGCCATAAATAAAGCGACAGCTAGTCAATGTCACCGGTGAATATCTGTACTAAGACCCAACTTAGTGGAACCTACCGGTCACGACTACCTACTGGAAATCCAACCTCTGGTCAGTCACTAATGAGCAGAAAAATATTAGTTTTCAAGTGTTAGCTTGCAAGAATTAAATTGATTTCAAGTTTGAGAGACACATTTAAACCACGGAAAATTGGATAATTGTCTCAGTCTAGTCTAGAACTCTTCAGGACATTCAAGTTAAAAAAACACTGAATTCATGAGTGTCAACGCTAGTGGCGTTCTGGATTCACCCATCACATATATTTATACAAATACAATGTTGTATTTTTTTTATAAGGATTACCACACAGAGAATAAGCAATCTCAAGGAAGTGACAATACAGCAATGTAAGTAAGTAAGTAAGAGAAATATTACAGTGACAAGGTCCTTTTCTTATTGTCAGTAACCAAACTGACAAATTTTGGAGAACGAAGCTCCAACTGTCTGTACTGGTTATTATAATTATAATAATCATTATTACAGAAAATAGAAATCAGATGGAAATATATGGATAAGAACAAAAAAGGTTCAATCATCACATAAATGAAGAGGTTGGAAGAAGTTTATGAAGAAGGGCAGAGTATTGTGCTCACTCACAAATTTTTCTCTTTTTTTGTTTAAATTACAGGAATGATGAATATGATGCTCAGCCTCCTGAAGGAACATTTTTCTAAGGGAAACTCAGATGAGAGACGTGTGTATTTACATTGAGAAGAGAAGCCAATTGTGATATGACTATGGGCTTAATGATGCATGTGAAAAAGAGACAAAATAAAGTAGGGATAAAAAGAAAAAAGACAACTCATGATGAAAGACTTTTCACAAAATCAAAAAAGCACTGAAAAGGAATATCAATCACCTTAATGGCTGGCTGTTAGCCTATTTTCAAAAATATGTTTACATTTACAGGTGCAGCATTGTCTTTCAAAAATATTATCCGACTAACTTGTAATACTAGGGGATTGCAGATAATTCGTGCAGTTGATTTTGTATTTGTAAACTCGATTCAAGGCAATCTTTACGAATTTGTTTGGAAATTGATTCAACCTGTTTCATCAGAGAATTGAGTAAATATACATTAAAAATAGTAAAAATATAATTTTCCTTTTAAAAATAGTCGATAAGAGCAATATATCATGAAAATTTCTATATTATATATTAGAGAAAAATTGTTAAATCATTTGCGAAATCCATAGTTCCAAGCCAAAAAGCACCATAATGTCCATTTAGAAACGTAAAACATTCATATCATATTATGTGATCTAGCTAACATTATGAATAGAAATGAGTAAACCAAGCAATGTGACCTATTTGCTGATGGTTGATATGAACTGTTGGGGAACTTTTCACATCAACCAGTAGTGAGTAGCAGTCAGACCGAAGGACCAGGCGTTGTTTAAGTGATTTGGAGCTAAACTCGTCAGAGATGTGATTGTCTGAGAAAGCCCAGTCAGTTTTAAACAGTAAGAGTCCTGGTTAGCTCAATTTGATAAATTGGCAATATATAAGATCACTAAAGCACAACTGATTATCATGTGCGGTCATTAATTTCCTTAGAATAAAACTGAAACAATGGGTGTTAATTTAACAAACATATTTTAACAAAATTTTTTTTCTGATCCCACTTGGAGATGTGGTTCCTTTTGTTTCAGAACTTGACTTACAGCCAGAAGGCCCCAGGTTCGACTCTTGATCCATCTAAATAAGTCTGGCCAACTGGTTAGTATCATTAGCCTTCACTTATTAATATTGTTTGTTATTCTCTTCGGTTCCGAGTGGGACACAGGGCTTCAGCAACAACTCTCCACTTTCTTCTATTTTATGCCTCCCTCTTCAGTTGGGTTCACGATGGACAGTAATCTCTCGTCTCCTCCGCGCTACACTAGCTCCTTCATGTCAACCTAGAACCGATAACCTACTCGTCACTTCCCATTGCGATTCTACTCGAGCGATGGCCTGCACTGAGCGCGATGTCATTCGACGGCCTCTTCATAGTATACCCCAACCATCTCTATTTCCACCTACATATTGTTTCTTGTTACTAATTCTTTCTGGTCATTTGGTCTCCAGCATGGAGCGAACGCAGCTGTTGATGAAGGTCTGAAACCTGTTGGAAATCCTTTTCGTCACACGCTAAGTTTCTGACCCGTATACAAGGATCGACTTGACATTGGTGTTGAAAGTGTGAATCTTGTTCTTTATGCTGGCTTCAGGTTGACGATGGCGTATCTTGCCTTTCCGATTCTGGCTAGCTTTGAGATCTTCATCCGTTCTGACTACCTGTGGTTGAAATGATGCTTCCTAAGTAAGTGAAGGAAGAAACCTCTGTAAAATCTCTCCCGTTGATGGTGATTGGTGCTAGTTTATTGTTGTGGGTGGTTAAGTGGTTATCTTCACTACCTCCGTCTTCTCTGTGTTCACCTGCAGTCCTGTCTTCACTGCCAACCTCTTCAGCCAGTTTGTTGGATTTCGCCTGCAAGTCTTCGAGTTTGCGTGACAATAAACATAAATCATCTGCGAAATCCAGATCTTCTAGAGTCTTCTTATCAGTTCTGACTTCTCATTCCCGGCGCACAGTCTGACGCATAATCCAGTCCACCACAATTAAGAATATCATCGGTGATAACAGGCAGTCAGCTTCTCTTACTCCTGTATTTACTTCCAACGCCTCACTGAGTTTCCCGTTGCGGATCACCTGACTAACACGTTGACATTGTCATGTAGCCAGATGTTGAATGAGGTTGATAGAGAATTAGGCACTGCACGGTCAACGCTGTCTGGTGAAGATCTTTTCAAAGTCGATGAAGTTAAGCTACAGGTTGGACTGTCATTCTAAGCTTTGTTCTGTGATTACAATGCATAGTGTTGCACTTAAATCAGCACATGATTTGCCTTTCCTGAATCCAGCTTGTTCTGGTCGGTAGGGTGGATTACTGCATCCAGCGCATCTTTTATTCTCTCCAGGATAACGCGACTTAGTATTTTACTTGGCGTCGACAAGAGCATTCATTATTCCACGCCAGTTCTTGCAGAGGCCTACAATCATTGTGTAGCTCATATTATAATGCCTTAAAAAAATCATTTCCAGATTAACTGAGTCCAATGTGACTTGAATTTATCCACATATTTCTTCTATAGCAAATATTCTATACACAATAAACACAGTAGTTAGAAGTATGTAAGTCTCCAGCGTTGTAGAATAGAATTTAATGAAGCGACTGACTTTCAATGTCATCTTCAGTTTTATTCGACAGAAAAAAAATAGCGAATTTATTAAGATACTTACAATTGTATGAAACATTAGTGTATCTTCATTATCACATTCATATTCTTCAATTGTATCTAAATCTTCTAAAAATCGTAGTGTTAGTGAATCATAATTCTCTCGAACAATTTCTAAAACCTTAGAAGACAATAGAAATAGATAAATGGATATTTTACACACGAATTTCATAGGGGTTAACAGATAAAAAATGTTGAAACAACCCCAATCCTACTGTAAAGAGCAAAAGACCGATGAGGCTCGAAAGTAATGTGTTTTATAGGGGGTAAACGCATTGTAGGTGCATAAATTTGGTCTTCAAGTCTTTATCTGCACATCATTTGCAAATTGGTCGAATATCAGCATATTCGATAGCTTGTTGGATTCTCCACAGTATTTCTAACGTTCTGCTCAAAGTTCTTTTCCTCGATTGCTTTTCTTCCAGTGCCCAAAACATATTGTTACTTTTAAGAATTTGTATACTGATATACTACTTATATCTGATTATAAGCAGCACTGACCACACTGCTTCTTCCTTTCTCACTTTCAACCCTTCCCTTCTATCCTTTGCTAATAAGTACTTTATTATTTCAGAGTATCATATGTGACTAAGCATAATACCCAGTGTCTTTTCGAATTGCATGGAGGATTTCATCATGAGCTGACATCAGTTACAGAACGACCGTAAAACCTGGGAGTACTGGACAGCTGTTTCGTACTAGTTTGGGACTTTTCAGTAGTACGCAACCACCGGGATTCGAATCCGGTATCTTCGGGTTACAAGGCGAGCTCGTAGACCATTGAGCCCCACCGGGACCCGATCGAATTAGCGCATTTAGAATACCATAGGATATCAAACTTGGCGCATTGTATTTGTCTTCCACTGATCATATATATATATATATATATATATATATATATATATATATATATATATAACAGCCAGCCGTAGACTTTCGCCAGCAGCTGCCTTCATTGTCTTCATACTGAAGATTATATTGTAGTGGTGTGTTACAGCCAATGTGTCCAACGGAATATTATTTCACATATTCCCACAGTTCAATACTGCATTAGCAACAGAATATGATGTATATTTGAACATTTTTATTTCACATCGTTTGATGTAAACTGAAATCACGCGCTCAGTGATTGGTTAAAGAATATAAGCTGTATATGTATAAATAGCGGTTCAATCACATACAAATATACCTTGACTTCCGTGTTTTGTCTTCTGCTGTTACGATATGGCTAGCAAGAAAAGGATTAGGAACAAAAAACTCTGTTGCAAGAACCTATTGCCCAACAAATATGCAGAAGAAAGTAGAGACGCATAAAAGAAACGCACCCAAGCTAAACTTTATTCACCACTAACTACCAATCAGCGAACGACGTCAAATTATCCAATGAGATTCCCGAACGTAGTTCAATGTTGTATAGCGCCTAATTCATTGCTAATGCGTGCCCTTACAAGGTTACGTTTGCAATTCGAGGAGGACAGTGTTTTCCAGTATTGCCTCGATTTAGGGCTGCTCTGGAAGGAACGAACTTGTTCGAGAGGGTAGTATTATGACTTTAAAAAGCTATAGCAGGTCAACTGATGGATTTGTCCATCGTTGTACTATATGCTTGAAGCGTGTTAGTATTAGAGAGGGTAAGCTGATTATTTTAATATTTCGTAGGAACATTTTTTGCAAGGACACACCTCTCCTTGACGCAAATTTTGTATATCTGCAACTACTGGGTATTGAAACAGCCAGTGAGAGCCACAGATGCCAAGACGGAGAACAGCCTCGTCTCAACAGTTCAATGGTAACAGCATTGTAGAGATATTGCATCTTGGAAAATGAAGATCACTTCGTTGTTGGGCGGAACGACGTTGTTGTGCACGTGGATGAGACTGTGTTGCTGAAAAAGATATACAACCATGGTCGCCAGCGAGCGAATAATATTTGGTCATAGGTTTATACGATACTTCCCTCCGAAAAGGATTCGTTGAAAGAATAGCAGATAGAAAGTCGACCACTCTAATACCTATTATTACGAGACTTGTAAAACGTGGGTTCAATTATACACACTGATGAATGGAAAGGTTATAATTCTCTGTCATCTTTGGGATATATTCATCACAGAGTCAACCATTCCAGTGATTTTGTGGATCCAGTTACGAGGACTCATACAAATTCTATTGAAGGATTTTGGGGCCGGTTAAAAAATCGGATAAGGGCTAATAAATGGATCTCAAAAGGATCTCATTTATAGTCATTTAGATGAATATATATGTACAGAATGTGGTGTGACTTTTCCATTGACAGTCAGTCCGATGCTGAACTGGGAGATGTTTCTATCACATGGTCAGGAAATATAACCCCCCTGTAATCGTTTTTTCCTTTTATTATGCTTTTTTTCTATAAATATACGTTTCCATTTATCATAAATGCCTCTTTAATGTGATTGGTCCGATCAGGGTCGTTTGCTGATTGATTGTTCGTGGTGTCGAAAGTTTAACTTTGCCAGAAACGCTGGGGAGACTGTTGAGTGACAACACGCGTGCAATGAAGGCTCCTCTCAAGTGGAACCCAAACGGGGGAACAGCAAGTTGGCCACCCAAGGGTGACACGGAGTGGATCGGGTGGGGGAAAACGATGAAATCTCATGGATAGTCGTGGAGCCAGCTAGAAAAGATTTCAGAGAGCGGAGTGAAATGGCGATTCGCCACTGAAGCTTCAAGAGATTAATAACAATAATAATACCCAATCACAGGAAATAACACACCCTGTGATCGTTTCAATTATTTCTGATGTATCATTGATAAAAGAATAAAACTTGTGCACTGTGGTAGAGTGTAATTCCATTATGGGTAAATTTTGTTTTGATAAAGTCTCACAGTGTCATACAGTAATGTTTACTGATGATGTTTCGAGCACAATTTATTGATCACAATCATATCAAGGTGTATGAGGCTCCTGTAATATATATTCACACCTCCTAACTACCATTTCAAGTTGAAAATTATTATTTCAATTTGTTTCCATGCTCATTTTTTTGCACACTTGTAATTCATCCTAATCCTGTGTGATTTTTGTTTTTCTAAGCCTCTCGTAAACCATATCTAGTTGAAAATAAATTGTCACCTTTTATTCACCTTCGTAATTATGTGGAATCAAGCAAAAATGGTATCTATGTAAAATTATGTATTTAAATGCGATTATACAGCTTTTGAAAATGAAATCGCCGAAAAGATCACCATCTTTACTGAAATTCGTGTTCTCTTCTCTCTCTAATACCTGAAGTCTGACTGGGTACTGTTCGAGATGAGCTGAGTCCCAACTAGGGTACACCGTTGGTGTATGAAACAGCAGTCTGGTTTATAGATCAATTCGATTTAGCTAGCAAATGCTACTGTGATGTAAGTGCTGTTCAAAACTATTCATGTGTGGTGTACAGGCATCATGAGTTGCGTCCACGTTTGTTTTCTTGGTCGTCAATGATGATATCAAGCAGATTACATATTGTGATTTCGAAGTATTGTAGTGAGAGCTGGTAGACAGTAATTTACGTCAATGTTTACGTCCCCAATATTGGTCATGAGAAAAATAAGAACAAAGACTGACTCAACAACCAATCACAGCAGCCTTTGCGTAGGCGGATACAATTTGCAGATAGATAATCTGAACTTCAAGAAACGGTCACAAAGAGATGAAAGAATAGCGTTCAGCCAGAAACCACCAATCAGAAGACTGTGTTTGTCTGCTTACAATAATCTATAATAATGTACATGAAAATCTATAAATATCTGTTGATTTCCTAAATAAGTGATCTGTTGCCTGGCTCTTGTCTTCTGTCGTTACAGTATTACTCTGTCATCTCAAGTAGGGTACGCTTTTGCACTTTTTTTTTACCGTCATCTTAAAGTCTTATTGTCTATTGTGGTATTTTGTTGGTCATTTAATTTTAATGATTTGATTTAGCATAATACAGGTGTTCATTCCTTTCTGCTATAAATAGTAATATTTCCGTGCTATTTTCTCTCTAATATCCTATTGAGCGTTTTCCACGATCAGAAATCAGGCAGTTTAAGCTGTGATTCAGCTCTCTCATCTGAGTCAAACTGGTTTGTGCACTACACTGATCACCTCAGTCCTAAACAAGAGAAACGCCAGTCCGATATTTTGATACTGGTTACTGGTGTCCACCTACTCATGTCTATCAAAATCAGTAGTATAGAGCATTAGAAAACTGCTCCACCCTTGTTTATTATTGCGATGGTGTACCCTATCTGTGAAAGCTTTTCTCTTTCATTGAATCATTTTCGATTGATACTTTTTTTTCTTCGCACCATTTTTAATCAACACCTCACAAAAAGATAAAAATATAAGCTTACCTGACTTTCTGTCAACGAGGTCAAATTATTCGATGTAGAGAAAGCAGCTATTTTCGCATTGAAATGATTGACGATTGCCCTGAGATGATTATAAAATAAAAATATAAATAATAGACTCTACAATTAGATGCATACAAAATAAAAAAGTGATGCTAATAATAATAATAATAATAGTAATAATAATAATAATCAGTTACAGTGCAATGAGCGTAAAATTTAAACAAAACAACATTACCTTAAAGTACTTAACTGAAGGACAACTGATGAGGCGATCTCTTTCACTTCAGTAACAGAACTAGTTGAATGTTGTAAACCTATACAAAAGAAAAGAAAACTGGAAATAATTAGCAGTTTGATCAAGGATTGATATCAGTTAGAGAACCAATGGAAACTACCCACGGATCTTTAAGTAAACTGCTAATCGATAGTATGTTACTTGACATAATACTGTTTGACTTGAATAAAAAACCAAGCCTTAATATATTTCCCTCCTTTCTCCAAGAAATGCAGGGTAGTAGGATCAAAGTCATTTATAAGTGTGAGTGAGTACACTTTGTGACCTAAAGATAATATCGAGTTTGACCACGGATTGATATCACTTAAAGAACCAGTGAAAACCATGGAGTAGTGGACAGCTGTTTCCTCCGTGCTTGTTGGAGACTCTTCAGCAGCATGCACCCACATGACTAGCGTCCGAAACCAGGACGTTCCGCATACAAGGCAAGCTCGTATGCCATCCAATCACTGGGACCTGATCTAATGGCCAGGCCATGAATTCTAACTTCTGTCAATTCACGACAAAGCGCGACCACTTCGCAATGTCTTTTTCGATGAGTTACTGCCTCAGCTTCAACCTGCTGCACCCTACTGGTCACGGATTCCCACTAGAACCCCAGGTAAACTACCTGAATAGGGCCAGTTACTAGTGAGCATCCCACTGATTTTCAAGTACTGGTTTTGTAGGGATTGTTTTGTTTGATTGGTTACGGGATTTCATCATGAACTGACATCAGTTAGAGAACCATCGAAACGGCATTTTACTCAAGAATTTATTACACTCGTAATTGTAATGATTAGCAAACCATTGACAATGAAACAGACGATTTTTTAAGTTGAAATATGGTAATGTTGATAAATCACTTAAATTAACAAGCATCTTGATCAGCCTTACTCAACAATCACCAACGCGATAAGTGTGAATAGATTATATGACTCATTAACTTAAGTATTCCACAATGTAAAAGTTCTTAGAAAGTTTAATCCTTCTCCTAGGTTATGTATGGTCCTCCACACACATAAACTTAGTATTAAATGGGATTCTATTGACTCTTCACCTAGAAAATGTACAGGGTGAGTTAGCTATGCCAGATTTACAGGAATCTGTCGAGTTCTAATAGGCAGTCAGACGCTGAATTCCTTCCCCTCAAGAAATCAAAAACACGAAAAATAATCTGACAAAGTAGGTTTAGTGAAGTATCGAGCCGGGAGCCTGACTAGCAAGTCAGGAGATTTATATAAATGAAACATATGAGGAAAACATTACTATCCACAAGACTGAATTCAAAATTATATTAGGATCCTTAAGAAAAATGAGGGTATTAATGTTAATAATGAAAATAATATATAAATAATAAGGAATTTGAAGCCTCAATAATACTGCCATATAGAGAAGGAACATCAGTGGCTCTATATACGATTCTTAACAAGGGTGGAATTAGGGTGGCAGTTAAATAAACCAGAGGTTAACTTTGTCGAATAAAGAACCCTACAGATTCAGAAAGATGGCATAATTTACCAGATACCATGTAATGACTGTAAACGTCAAGCAATGAGAACATAGGAGGTATTTAGGCAAATCCGGAATGATTGATCCTGCCTAGGTTAAGCGACCTAGAAAAAACTCCACTATTGCATTGCATTCACACCAATTAGGTGGAACAAAGTGAAAGTGTTACAAAATAATATAATTAGGTGGAGAGAAAGGTGCTGATCATAAAATCTTTGTTCATTGAATTAATACAAAACACGTGCAATCGCAATGGCACAAAACCTATAGAGGAAATAAGGAAAACTGCATTGACGAAGAAACGGGATGGAGTAAGGCAGGAGTGTAAAGCAGGTTGGTAATTCGTGGTAATGCTTACATTGGTAAGATTATGAGCAGCAATGAACTGTTCTTGAAACGTGATCCAGTTGTTAATACTGTGTCATTGCATGTTATATCAAATTAACTTATCTAATATGGCATGGAGGTCAGCAGCATTCAGCGTCAAAAATAAGATCCAGATTTTCAACTCCAATGTGAAGTCAGCGCTACTATACGTATCAGAGACTTGCACTGCGCGTCATAAAGAGCATCTCAAACAAATTACAGAGCTTCATTAACAGTTGTCTTCACTCAATACTACTCAAGATCAGATGGCCGGCCAGAAAAGATCAGCAACAGAGATCTCTGGGAGCTAACAAACCAGGAACCGACTGTGAAACAAAAAGGCAGGAAGAAATGAAGATGGATTGGCTGGCCATACTCTGAGGAAACCATCAAGTGACATCACTAGACAAGCTATTGCTCGAGTGGAACCCGAAAGGGAAGCGGCGAGTTGGTCGTCAGTGCAAGGATGACTTGGAGGAAGTCATGTGAAAAGGAGATGAAAGCGTGTGGGCAGACTTGGGGCCAGCTGAAAACTCTAGCAGAGGACCGAACGCAATGGAGACGCGCGGCTGAAGCCTTATGTTCCTCTAGGAATTAAAGGAAACAATAATAATATGGCATTATATTTCATTACACTGGCCAAATCCTCACAGCCTGGTTTCTGATTAACTGGGATCCAACAGGAATACAAAAGATTTGAGGTTTATTATGATTACAATGAGCAACAGCAATAATAATAATAGCAAACAGCTTTACACACTTACAGTATTCATAAAGATTTTCAACAAGCAAATGCATGCGTATTAACTCGTAATATAAATTGTCATATACATCAGCTGATTGGAGGAATCCATCTCCATGAAGAATGAAAAGATTGAAAATTTGAAGAGCCTATAAGAAAATAGAATATATATATATATATATATATATATATATATATATATATATATTAAGATTATTCATCAAAATAGGCAAATTACATATTAATATTCATTTGGTTTGTTGGGTCTCGAATGAAACAATTGCTTTAATTAGTTTACAGTTCTGCTGAAGTAAATAGACTTGTCAAACATGAGCAAGTGGATCATACTCATGTTATCACGAGGAGAACAAGAGGAAATATCGACGCATTTAACAATTGATTCTCCTTTGATGCGATGGTGGCTGCTGATTCCCCTCTTATCTACTTATTATTACTGATTTATTTGCGTTCATATTTATACTGCTTACTAGTAGTAAGTAGTATGGGTTTATATTTCATATTTGGTACTCCGCAACAATAGTTATTGACTTCTACTGGAACCGATCACATTCAATGTAAAAACATACTATTTAGCTTGGGGATAATTTCCTTCTTATGTTTAAACAGTATTCGCTGTACCTTTTTTTCTTTATGTTTCATCCTCTGTTGAAAATCACTTATTCAAATCCCTATATTCTTGACTCGTACATTCGCAGTTTCATCATCTTTGAGACGAACATTCTTCGAGGGAACGCTAAGAGTGGCATTCTCCAGTTGTCTACTGGTCTGCAGATGCCTTAAGGACAAGATCTCGCATCTGGCCACTTCTATGTGTGGAGATTGGTTCACTTGTTGCTGTGGAGTCAGGTAGATTGGTTGTTCCGTCTAGACGGGTTCAAGAACATTACGCTTTCGTCTCCTTTGCATTATTGAAGTTTTCACCATTCAGTTAGAGAAACAGGAGCTATGCATACAAAAAAATTTGTCCAACCACCCTTACTATCATGGTAAAAACCTTGTTCATTTCTACTGACTGATTTTTATTTGTTTGTTCCTCCAACTCCTTATGACTCTTGTATTTCTTTAGAACTCTTACATAATTCCATATTCCCCTTTGTTCATACTGATTACAACTCACTGATTAAATTATTCATCTTATTAGGTAACTCTAATAAATCTATTAAACTGCTCTTATGCCTAAACTACTGTTAACAACCATGACTGTGTTGCCTGCCTTTTTTCATGAAAAATTGTACATACATGAGAAAATGAATCCGCCGGAAAGAGCCTCTTCACTGAACTACGTATTCTGACTTCATTAGTGTCTGGTGAGGATTATTCACGAAGTATATCTAATGACACACAAACTCGAAAATCTACAGATGATAAACCAACAAGTTGACAGAAGGAGTAACGAAGACAGAACTTTTTAAACGGATGTAGAAAAGACAGAAGTGATGAACATAAAATAACCAAAAAGAACAAGAAGCGCCAATCACTATCAACAGGAGAAATTCGAAAGAGGTCACCTCTTCGACTTATATCTAGCTGGCATCGTTTCAACCACAGGATGCATAGATGAGGATGCCGAAACCGATGAGGATTGGAAAAGCAATACACGTCTTGAATAATCTTAAATCAGTATGGAAATCTACTGAATTCACGATAGAGAAAAATATTTGGATTTTCAGCATTAATGTCAGGTCAAACAGCGCTTTAAAATGGGTCAGTGACATGGTGCTTGCAACACAAAAAGAATTTTCAACAGGCTGTAAACTTTTATCAGTAGCTGCCTTCGTTCCATATTGAAGATCGGATAGCCGGGTTAGAAATGATTAGCAACAAGGAACTCTAGCAGGCAGCAAACCAATCAAGAACCTATAAGCCAACAGATATGCAGAAGGAAATGGAGATGGATCGGACAGACGCCAAGGAAATCGTTGAGTGACATCGTACGCTATGCAACCCATCGAGTAGAACTCCATTGAGAGGCGGTCAACCAGTTAGGCGTCCAAGGGTAACATGGAGAGGCCCATTGAGGAGGAGACGTGAACGTATGGACAATCGTGAAACTAGTAAAAAGAACTGCAGATGATAGGATGAAATGAAGATGTGCTGGTGAACCCTGATGTTTGACTCGGATCCCAAAGGAATAGTTGTTTTCAGTGATACAGAGGGAGAAACGTACGGTGACAATGTCTGCAGCAATATTAACTTCCGACGGTCACAAAGGCAGTCAGCGTACAGTTAAACATGTGAGGAAGTATGTTGATGTGGTCATGTTCTCTGAGCTGGATAGTTAATTTGCTAAGCTTTCATTGCCCCACCACTAGGCAACATCATCAGCGCATACTTCAATTCGATGAAGTGAGCTTTCAGATTTCGCCACGAGTTTATCAGTCATCTCTGCTGGTTAGTGACCTTGGACGTGATCAGTTGTTGTTGTGTGTTTTCACACCCTCTAGGTTACTTGTATTGGAAATGATTGTTTCCTTGACTTGAACTTTGGCCCTTTGTGTGTGAGATTTCCTTCTTATCGTTTGGTAAATTTTGTCTATGTCAATGTGTCTGTTGGTGGATGACTCACTGGGATACCAGGCGTCTAAAAATTCGCTGGCATTCTTTGTGTTTCTTCTGTTTAATATTTGAACGCTGGTTGTCCCAGTCGAACTGATGTCCGTGGTTGTCTATATGTAGTGATATGAGGGAGTGGATGTCATGTCTTTTGACGGCTAGCTTATGTTCGTGGATACGAAGACGAAGGGGACGTCCACTTTGGCCAATGTAGTGTTTTTCGCAGTTGTTACAATTTATTTTGTAGATGATGTTGGTTTAATCTTCTTTCGCTGTTGAGTCTTTTGGTTGACATAGAACTGAGCGAAGTGATTTTGTTGGTTTGTGTGAGACGTCAATTCTTAAAGGTTTGAAGAGTCTTGCGGTGATTTCTGAGATGACCTTTATATACGGTAGGGCAATTTTCTTTTTACTTTCCTTGGGGACCTTTGATTTGATTGGTTGGCTTGGGGTATGTCTTTTGATGTAATTCCGTGGATATTCATTCTTTTGGAAGACGTCCATGAGCTATCTTTCTTCAATTTTCCATGAAGTGGGAGTGCTGCAATGAGTCCTGGCCCTGTTGAATAGTGTTTGCATAGGATTCCTTTTGTGTGATATTGGATTGTTGCTGTTGTAATTCAGTACTTGGTCTATGTGAGTGCTAGAGAAATTTTAGAAGTCTGGTATTCCAGTGGTGAATCGTCAATCAATAGACACATCGAGATAGACAAAATTTACCAACCGATAAGAAGGAAACCTCACACACAAAGGGCCAAAGTTCAAGTCAAGGAAACAATCATTTCCAATACAAATAGCCTAGAGGATGTGAAATCACACAAAAACAAACAATCACATCCAAGGTCACTGGGAGAGATGATTAATAAACTCGTGGAGAAATCTAAAAGCTCACTTCAAGAAATTGAAGTGTGCGATGAAGATGTTACCTAGTGGTGGGGCAATGAAAGCTTGTCAAATTAACTATCGAGCTCAGAGAACACAATCACATCAAAATCATCTGCCACCTGAGAGCTGCAAATCTTCTCCATCATATCTGAATTACTACTGAGTGGTCATCCATAAACACCTTACTGAAATGATAGTTTCATCCATTTGTACCTCACCAAAATGCTAAAAATGGATGTCATAATTAGAGATTCTTCACTCTAGTGGAGAATCTCTGGTGTTTTTGTTTATTATAGACTAGTAATTATTTCTTTTTATTATTAGTTTAAATCGGACGTTGACTAGTAAAACTAACAATTAAATTTCTTTTGTGTTTTTTTGTTTTTACTTATAATCAATCAACTAGCATTAATTTAAAAAACAATTGATGATGGCAGTCTAACTGAAATTGTGCTTAAATGCACATTCAAATTATTATTGACCTCAATCATCAGTGAACTTATGAAAATCATTTAAGTCTTACTTTTATGGAAAGTTTTAACATCACATTATAAAATATTTGAATATATATTATTTCCAAAACTAGAAAAGGTCTATGTGGTGCAGATTTGGACTCAGTCACCAGGATTAGATTATGGGCATATACCGCGTCAACAGCCACACTGAACGCGAGAGGGATGATGGTGCTACACAGTTGTCCAGATTGAAAAAGGTGGGATGGGAGTCGAACTCGAGATCCACTGACTAAAAGCTGATTGCTTCAGACATAAGATACCTATCCATGGTGTAGAATATTCTATTGAGTAACATGAGTACTTAGTAGCAAGCTTGTATCAACCAACAGTTCCTGTTAGCCAGATGGAGGGTTGAACGAGTATTTTTATATTCATCTGCCTCTAGGTTCCAGTGTTAATAAAACTGATCCAGCTCAGACTTCCGGGTTGGGGCCCGCCCTCAGGACTCTAAGAATCAATGGCTGGAGACAATAGGTGACATGGCTCAAAATCGTTGTCAATGGCTTACGCAGATGTATTCAGTCTCTGTAATATTCAGTCTCATATTCCTTTCTACCATTACTCTTTCCGTTTCACTCTTATACTTGTCAAAACTCTATTGATTCTCTTCAATCATCTTCTTGTCTACCTTTGTGTGCTATTTGGAACGTGACAACTCGAACTGATGCACTTCGTTGCCAAGTTCTATGTTGAATCCAGACAGACAGATCTAACTCAAAGAGCCATCTAGTGAAAGAGCATTTCAAATCCTGTAGCTTGTGAATAAATTTGCCTCAGCCGATGAATCACACATATAGTCTTAAGAAACAGAAGCTTAAAAGTTAACCACTAATACCAATAAGTCATTAAGTATCCAACACCAAACAACCACCTACCTTTTCAATAAGTCTGAGAGCATCAGGTAGAGACAGATTGCTAGAATCTAAGTTGAGAATAAATTTCAGTAAACTCAGAATAACTGTAAAACAAATAAGAAAGAAAGAAAGAAAAGAATGCAAATAATTCATTAGATAACTACTAGTGGAAACATGTTACATGTTTTCTTCTCTTTTAGAAACTTTCTTGTATAAATAATAAGACTAGAAGTTAATTGGGGATGGTGACTAGCAGTGGAATCAAGGATGTTGGTTTCGTCCTTTTTGGGACTCGTTAACTAACTGGATGCACCTACATTCCACAGTGAGTGATGATGTTCCCCGCACCGAGGCTCGAACCCAGTGCCCAAAGGGTTATCCACTAAACTACTTGGGTTACGAGAGCCACTTCTTGTGCAACGGGTCATATTAATTACCTGATTCAATTTTAGATTTTCCCATCGATTGATTGAACCGAAGTGTTCGGTCAGTCGATGGGAAAATCTAAAATTTAATTAAATAATAAGATGTTTCGATTAAGGTTATTTTATACTTGGTTCATGTTAGTTCTTGTGGAAATATACATACTGTGACAACTAATTTAACTGTTTTATGTTTATTTATTTGAATATATGACTTATATTATTATTATCATTGTTCCCTTGGGTTACTAGTGGAACACAGGGCTTCAACTGCACGTCTCCACTTGTTTCTGTCTTCTGCTGTACTTTTCACATGCATCCATGTTAGTCCATACTGTTTCAACTCCTCTTCACACGATCTCCTCCATGTCACCCTTACTAGTGTAAAAAAACTACTAATGGACAACTTATCCCGCTACAGGTATACATTTTAATGAACTATTATTATTCCCTTGGAACATGGGGATCTCTGTTTCACTTTTTAGGTGGTCCCACCACTGCCCCATAAGCTCTCATCTTCTATATTTCTCCCTCAAACACACTCCAGTTCCACTAGAGGACCTGTCTTCGACGTGATTTCACTGAACGGTGTCCTTCGTTTGTATCCAATTAATCTTGACTTTCTTCGGCATATTTGTTTGCGAATTGGTTCTTAGTTGATTCGGCCATCTGATCTTCAGTTTGCAGAGAAGGCAGTTGTTGATAAAAGTCTGGCGTAGCATGCTGGAAATTCTTTTCGTGACACGAAAGGTCGACTACCATTGCTGGCAAATAATCCCGAAGTGAAGTTACGAAAAGAAGTCTCCTTTCTGACTTAAACGTTCTCAATGCTATTTGATATTGTCTCATCAAAATACTATTAAAGTTAAAGATAATCGGGTCCCAGTGGCTGAATGGTATGTGAACCATCTTGTCCTGTACCCAGAAGGTCCTGGGTTCGAACCCCAAGTGGGGACGTACTGTCAATCATTCCCAAACTAGGATGAAATCTACCTGTCTGTCTGTTTTCGACATAGAACTTTGCACATATGTGCGGTCACATATATGTCGCCACACTCCATGTAGCACACAAAGCAAGAGAAGAAAGTAGGAGAAATGCATATTAGTGACAGTAAACAGAGACGTGAGACAAAGGTATAGTAATAACTAAGAACAAAACAGTTTCATTGGAAGTCATCAGTCATAAGGAGTGGATGCATCTGCGCCATCACTGAGAACGATTTTGAACAATGTCACCAATTGTTTCCAAACATGGGTTTTTACCGTCCCGAGTACCCCAACCAGGAAGTCTACACCTTCCCATGTGGCTTAGACTAACTGTTGTAGATTTCATTGACTAGTGCCATGTTTTGGTTTGACCACCGCTAGCTTTTTTCCAGCCTGACCCTATATCAGCTAACATTTGCCCACTGTCGAGGAAGGCGATGACTACGCATATGTAACACATGTCCTAACCATCTCAGTCGATGTAATTTCACAGCCTCGTCGATTGATTTCCCCTCCTTAAATAGCACTCGGCGCCTCGCCTTATTATGCCACTTCACACGGGAGATAGAACGCAGACACCTATGATCAAAGACAGCTAATCGTTTCATGTCTTCCACTCTCAATGGCCAGGTCTCACAGCCATAAAGGATGAAATAGTTGTCCAGTACTCTAGTGGTGGTTTTCAATGGTTCTCTAACTGATACCAAACTGTGGTAAAACTAGAAAGACAAATCAAATCCTTATAAACCAACACTTGAAAATACGGAAAGTATTTAAAAACGAGTACAGTAAAAAATTATATATATATATATATATATATATTCATACAACTAACCTGTCCATAATGATTTCCAATCGAATTCTAAACGAATTTTGTGAGCTCTTTGATAGCATAATAAATTCTGACAGATGATTAAACATAACCTAGTCAAGCAATTAGAATATACCAAAGACACCAATCAATACATTCATTCTTGTTTTAAATATGTGTATAAAGTAGGCATAAAATTAAAACAAATTAAAAGTTCACAACCTAATTCTTTATTGTACTTGGTTCTTTGTGTTGTTAATCAAACCAATGATTCAATATTCAATATTAGTGTAAAAATAATTTTAGAAAAAGGCATTGAGTTATTTCACAGGCAACGAAATTGAGAACAAAACGTGTTTGAGAACACTACTTAGGATGGCTGAAAAAGGGGCGACATCGGTTCAATCACAGAAGCTATAAGTGAACAACCAGCCCCTGAACGTTTCACAAAATCACAACAGGGCTGTTTGCAAAGTGAACGGAAATCCGCCAAAATCAGTGTGTGTGTGTGTGTTTCCAACTTCTTTTTACATTAGAAGCCCTTACCATATGCATAGAGAAGCTGGAGCTATGTGGATCTAGTTCTGTTTGGCTCCAAAGCTGTTGTATTTCCTCATTTCTTTCATTTTTTTTCACCTTCAGTTATAAAAAACTATTATTCCAGGAATAGCATGGTCACACGTCTGTCTGGATTAAAAACTATACTGCATAAATTACGTAACTAATTTTTTTTCTAAGCACCTTGTAATCTGTGTTCACAGTTTTAAACTTTCATATGAGGTTGAAAACTATTATATCTGTCTTAGTCCGCCTTCGTTACTACATTGAAATGAATGATAGTTGTAACTATGAGGACTTACGTGTAGAAATGCAATCATACAGTTTTTAAGGTATTAAATCGCTGAGAAGATATCCTAGATGAGCTTCTTACTTGTTTTTCCTCTCTAAAAATGGTGTTGATATATAATTGAACTTTAGATTTTCCCGTCGATTGATTGGACAAAAGTGCTCGGTTTCAGGTTGACGTGTCGGCATCTTGTGCAGATGCTTCGACGATGTTTGACCATGTAATTAGAAGTTAATTGGTGGATGAAGGCTAGTAGTGGAATCAAGGATGTTGGTTTCGTCCTATTTGGGACTCGTCGGTTACTGGGTGTACTTGCATTCCTCAGTGAGTGATGATGTTCCCACCGAGGATGAAACCTGGTGTCCATAGTTTCAAACGCCCAAGCGTTATCTACGGGTCATATTAATTATTTAATTGAATTTTAGATTTTTCTGCCGATTGATTGGATTAGTGTAACGACAGAAGACAAGGGCCAGGCAACAGATCATTTATTAAGGAAATCAACGCATATTTATATATTTTCATGTACATTATTATGGATATTTAAGTAAACAAACACAGTCTTCCGAATGGTTGTTTCTCACGTTAAGTTAATCTTTCATCTGTTTGTGACTGTTTCTTGAATGTCAGATCATCTATATGTTAACTGTATCCGCCTACGAAAAGTCTACTGTGGTCGGTTTTGAATCAATCTTTGTTCACATTTTCTCACGACAAATCTTGGGAACGTAAATATTGACGTAAATTACTGTCTACCAATTTGGCTAGTAGACAGCTCTCACCACACTAGTAGATAATGCTTTGGTGTTTGAAACTATGGGCACTGGGTTCGAGCCTCGGTGCGGGCAAAATCACCACTCACTGCGGAATGCAGGTACATCCAGTTAGCATCCTGGATTGCACTGATGTTGATATTTGTTTGAGGCAAAAATAACTGTAATAATCCTCAATAGTAAGGCGATCTGTAGTGTGAAATCACTATACTGATAAGTAGAAGGATTAAGGCTATAAAAAAACATGTGAGAAAATTGTGTGAATCCGTATTGATATTGCTTATGAGCAATGAATTGTGCTCAAAACATCATCCACTTATTAATACTGTATCATTATTTGCGTGTGTATGTGTGTCATATTGAATGAACTCATCTAATATGGAACCAGATAACTGGAATGCGAACTTCACCAACATCCTTCTATAAACTACTTTCATAAGGTGCGTCGGTGGCACAGAGGTAGAATGCTCACAGACCACGCCTCATGTGGTCCGCGTTTCGATCCCCGGCCGACGCACTCCTTTACCTCGCTAAGCCAATAATAAGACTGATAAAGAGGGAAGGTTGGGCATGGGGCTAGCAACATCAACCCGTAAAAATAAACACCACTGCTACCTAAACTTCAAGTCTCTAGCTTGAAGCCATATGTTCCACTGGGAACGTAAAGGAATATATATAGAAATCTATCAACCTCTCTTTTGTATGTAAATGATATATTGGGTCAAAGACGATTGCAGTGAAGAAAATTTTCTTTTCGACGAAGTCATCATCTAGGCTGTACATTCGTGTATTTATATCAAATGAATGGGAAAGTTCCAGAATAATTTCCGGTTATTGGTCAAATTAATAAAAATTACAATTAGGAATTAGTATGCCATAATAAACATTGGGCCACCTCAACGTGCTCTTGTGGAGCTGAGTACATCGGCCGTACCATGCGCCGACTTGAAAAATACGCTCGCGAACGCTACCCAGCCTGGCTAGTAAAAGGAGAACGAAAACGTGTATACAGTTCAATGACAGATCATCTGGTCAACTCAGGACATTCAGCGCCTTTCGAAAAATCCTTCAAAGTAATATACAAGATTCAATCAAACCTATCAAAGGGAGTGAAATCAAGACATTTGGGGAATAGCTGAGGTACTGGCGATCCAAAAACTCAAGCCTATTCTAGTGCGTCTAAGAGAAATACGTCCAACCGTTGTCCCTACCGTGGTCATATAAATAAGCAGTCTCACTAATAATGATTATCCTATTATATTTCTTGTCTAACCTTCCCGTTTATTTGTTATATTTACCTTTTAAATTCCTTATATGCATTATTAGATTTGGTTACTGTTTTTGTTTTTTTATATGCCCGAACCTCCAACCCATTTCGTTAATACTAGATCCTTAATATGTAATTATACAAACTGACGAGTTTTCCAGTAATTATAATCCCTACCCTATCTTCCTGATTATTACACATTGTAATTTTTAATTTGACCTTTGGCCTGGCATATTTCTAGAATATTGGCACTACCTATCTTCTGTTTATTTCACTTAGTAATCTTATTAATCTGACCTCTGACTGGAAATAATTCTGGAACCTTCTCACCCATTTACTATACATACACGAATGTACAGCCTAGTTGATGGCTTCTTCGAAGAGAAAATTTTCTCCGCTGCAACCTTTTTTTTAGTAATTCCTATGATTCAGTATGTATATTCCGTGATATATATATATACATATATTCACGAAAAATTCCCATTTGAACATTAATAGACAGAAAACAAGTAGTTCAGCGAAGAGTCTCTTTTCGGCGAATTCATTTTCATAGCTGTACAATCGCAAATATATATGGTTGTTTTGTATGTGTGTGTACATTAAATTTGTCAAACGAAAATACAATTAGTAAGTTCAGGTGAATTGAAAGTTGATATAAGAGAGTAGTAACAAAAGTGATGAGTTGTCACAAACGATTGTTAAAGAAGAGTTACGTAATAACATGAATAGTTTAATGAAAGAGTTGTACTCAGGGCGTACATGGAAACAAAATATACGGAATTACACAAGGGTTTTAAGTAGAAAAATAAGCATACAAATAAAAGTTAAGTCAAATCAAACAAGTAAACAAACAAAGTTTAAGTCAAATCAACAGAGTTGTTACCATGGGTGCAGAAGTGGTTGAATAATTTTCTTTTGTATGCACAGTTCTGGTTCCTCTAGCTTAATGGCTAGGGCTTCTGCGATGCAAAGAAGACGGAATCGTACTGTCTTTGGAAGGCTGTTCTTCACTTTGTAGATTACTTTGAAGCAGGAGGCGTTTGTTGAGATGGAATGATCAGCGGTGACGAGATGTTCGATTAATACACTCTTTATACGGCCACTACTTCCTTTCTGCAGCCACGCTGGATAGTCTTCTTTCACCCTTTTCAACAGGATGTGCGTCGAACGACCGATGTACCTGGCTCCACAGCAACAGGTGAACTGATATATACACATAGAAGTGGTCAGTTGCGAGATCTTTTGGGCTTCTGCAGATCAGCGGGTGATTAAAGAACACTACTCTCAATGTTGCCACAAAGAAAGTTCTTCTTAAAGAGGTGGAGATTCTCCTTCTAAGGACGTCATCCTTGTGTAATTTCGTATATTTCGTTTCCATGTACGCCCTGAGTACAACTCTTTCATTAAACTATTCATGTTATTACGTAACTCTTCTTTAACAATCGTTTGTGACAACTCATCCCTTTTGTTACTACCCTCTTATATCAACATCCAATTCATCTGAACTTACTAATTGTATTTTCGTTTGACAAATTTAATGTACACACACATACAAAACAACCGTATAAATTTGCGATTATACAGCGATCTATGAAAATGAATTCGCCGAAAAGAGACTCTTCGCTGAACTACTTGTCTTCTGTCTATTAATGTTCGAATGGGAATTTTTCACGAAGGTAAGATTCGCATACCTGTATAAACGATGCGGAAGCTTCTTCATCAAATGTCCATGAGCGAATTCTATCATTAAGTCTGAATAAACAAAACAAAAAGAAGAGAAACTAAATACACATTATAATATACAAATACATATAGCATATATATACATTGACCACATAACGGTAACTACTGTACACAGAATTAAAGCGACTTGTCAATATGCGTTAATAAACAATACTGAATTAAATTAAAGAACAATTTCTACATTGACTGATCATAAGGGCGTAACCATTTTCATATATGCTTAGTCTTTAATTGTTAACACTGACTGAACGCATAGACCCTTTAACGAGAATGCATCTATATCACAGTCTTGTGTTATAGTTCAAACATGAACCAGAATGGTGCACAGACATGTCTCTGACTAGAGTACTGGGGGCAACGGTTACTAAATGAAGACTGAGTGCTCTATGAGAGAGTGAGATTATGTATGTGATGAATTCAAAAACTTAAACGAGATGTAACTTTATAATTTTGCATGAATGAGACATGCAATACTCCATATTTAAGCAATATAACTGAACAACTAACTGTTAACATCTCACTGGTGGATCCACTGGCGGTCAAACAAAACATGACTTCATCAGTCAATGAAATCCACAACAGTTAGTTTAAGCCACGTAGGAAGGTGTAGACTTCCTGACTGGCTGGTTGGGGTCCTCGGGACGGTAAACAATAATGCCTGGAGGCAATTGGTGATATGGCTTAATACCGTTCTCAATGGCTGGCGCAGATGCATCCACTATTTGTGACTTATAATACCCAATAAAACTATATTGTTCTTCGATATTACTATTCTTTTTGCCTCATATCTATGTTTATTACCTCTGTTTTGAATCTCTTCTTACTTTCTTCTTTTGCTTTGTGTGCTAAGTGAAGTGTGGCAACTTGAACTGCTGCACATCGGTGCAAAGTTCTACGTTGGAACCAGTCAATCAGTCACAGGAATAAACAATCAATAAGAATCAAAAATTCATATTTTAAGTGAAATATCTAACACTTGCATATCGCTGTAATTACAGATACACCGATATCGATGTTTATGGCATTAAACATTGATCTGAGCTGAGACTGAGGTCTTAATGCAGACGTTTGCATAAAAGTGCAGCTGTTCAAGTTGCCACATTTCATAAGTACACAAATGTAAAATGAGAAAAATGCAAAGCAACTACAATAAACAGAAATGTATGGAAGAAAGAATAATTACATGGAGGATAATGAAATTCTGATAGGTCTAGGGGCTCATAAAGAGTAAGTGAATATATCTGCGCTATCGACAACGACTTTGGACATCAACAGTCATCACCCATTGGTTCTTACAGTCTCCAGGACCTCCCTATGTGGCTAAAACAAACAGTCGAAGACTTCATGGATTGATGACAGGTTTTGACTTGACCACCAATAACTTTTCACCAACCTAAAACAACATAAGCTAGCATTGCTCGGTGAGGAAAGCGATGGCTTAACATAAGTAGCACATTTCTTAGTCATCTCAATCGATGCAGCTTCGCATCATTGACCTACTTCACCTCCTTACCTAACCCCAATTATTATTATTATTATTTCCTTTAATTCCTAGAGGGACATAGGGCTTCAGCCATGCGTCTCCATTGCGTTCGGTTCTCTGCTAGTTTCCACCTGGCTCCAAGTCTGCCAACATGCTTTCATCTCCTTTTCACTTGACCTCCTCCAAGTCACCCTTGCACTGACGACCAACTCGTCACTTCCCTTTCGGGTTCCACTCGAGCAATGGCTTGTCTAGTGATGTCACTTGATGGTTTATTTTCTTAGAGTATGGCCGATCCATCTCCATTTTTTCCTGCCTATTTGTTTCACAATCGGTTCCTGTTGGGTTGGTTCGCTCATTGCCAGAGATCTCTGTTGCTGATCTTTTCTGGCTGGCCATCTGATCTTGAGTATTGAGCGAAGACAACTGTTAATGAAGGTCTGCAGTTTGTTTGAGATGCTCTTTATGACGCACAGTGCAAATCTCTGATCCGTATAGTAGCACTGACTTCACATTCTATCATCATTCTATGATATTCAACACGGGAGATAGAACGCAGACACCCACGGTGAAAAACAACTAGTCTCTTTAGGTGCCAGACACTCAAAGACCCTGTCTCATAGCCAAAAAGGATGCAGAGAACTCCTGCACAGAGCAAACGCCTTTTGATCAATAGCTAGACATCATATGCCTACGCCAGAGATGGTGTAAATTGATACTGGAAACAAACACTTCTTTGATGGATAGGATAACATTTACTGTACACACTCCTTCAAAGCAACACTTGAGAATTAACCTAAATACCCACTAGTGATTGACTGAAGAATCAAGTTATCTGAAGTTTTAGTGGACAGCTTTAACCAGTGGAGTCCACGAAGTCGGTAATGACGACAAATACTCGTCAATGACATTGACCGGTAGTCGCACTATACATATATAACGAATCGGCAGAAGTTAAAATTCATAACCCATCGGATTATGTCTCAGTGGCTTAATAGGCGATAGGCTCATTTCATAATCTGAAGGCCCTAAGCTCAATCCCCAGTGGGGCCACTGATGCGTACTCCACGGATTTCACTGGTTCTCAAACCAGTTTCAGTTCATGAACGAACTTGGAAACATTCCTGCAAAAAACAAAACTTGAAAGAGATGTAATAAGGCATCTGAAAAATGAATACACTTTAGACCACATGCAACATACCTAGAGAAATATGATGCATGTCACACACACACACACATACACCAAATGAAATAGGAATGAAAGGTTACTCAGAATCTGCTTGCATATGTGTGAACACTTGTTGTTGTGTTAGGCTTCATCAGACTGCCTAACTAGTCACAGCTAAATATTTGAAGAGAAGTTCAAACCTGTAGCCCATTAGTTCAAACGTGAGTTGCTTAAGAAACAAAATATATGAACTACAGATGCTCTGGAATGGAAAAATCTCCAACCAAACTTTTAGCAACGCACTCAAAACAATCAGATTCTCAATTTTAAATTCCTCGAATACATAATGCTGAATTTTATAAGATATAAAGTGCAGAGGTATGCATGGAAAAAGGATTAGTTTAAGACGAATGGTCGATCGTGATCTCAGGTATATAGCGTACATGTCCATTTAGCAAATGATTAAACTGTATGCTCAAAGATTTAACTAAGTCATACTATAAATTTTAAAATATGTTAACAAACGAACATTAAAAGAGAAAAATAAGACCAAGGAGAAATAAGATACAGCGTAATTTAATAAAACAATTGCACTTATACATATACATGCATACATACATACATAAATGGTAACCTTAGGTATAAAATTCTGTGATTAACAACTATCCATAAACAGAACACGCGCGTTAGTGGCATAGTGGTAGGACGCTCGCTGACCACGCATATGGTCTGGAGTTCGATCCCCGGCTGATGCATTCCTTGACCTCGTTAAGCCAGGAATAAGACCGGTAAACAGGAAAGGCTGAGCATGAGGCTAGCAACCCCACCCCGTAGAAGTAAACACTGCTACCGAAACTTCAAAGCTCTAGCTTGAAGCCCAATGTTCCTCCTGGGAACGTAAAGGAATTAAAAAAAAAGAACAGTTGCACTAACCTAAGATAGCCATAGCAATTGGCCGACTTGTGAAAACATTGTAGTTCTTTGGATCAGATTTACGTGAACGCTAAGGCAGAGAAAATAAAAAAACAAACAATTTTTGCTCAGTAAATAACAAGCATAACTATTTTGTATAATAAACTTCGGACTAAATGTATTACTGAACGAATAATACAGCGTATTAAATATTAAAAGTAACATAAAGTGGATGGGGAAAACCTAAATATCAACAGGGGGTAAATAGACTGCAAATTAAACATTGTATTAAAATCAAAAAACTCAAACTGAGTTGTATTCACAGTTTGCAAATTGATTTACAGTTTACATAGCTCGAAGTGAAATTTCGCCAAAGTTTCTCCTGGAAACGGAAATTATTCAGACCACACTATGTGACCCATTTGACACTATAATTGGCAATCAAGAAGGCAAGGATAATTGATTGACTGAGATGAGCAGAGGTGAGGTCATTGTGATTTACACACCACCGCATGGCCATCTCATTTATTCGGGGCCTAGCTCATCAACGGTGTACCCCGTACTACTGGTTTACTCAAATAACTAGCAAGAAATAGAGTGGTTTGGAACTATTCGGCTCTCTCTCTCTTAGCTAAGTTGAACCTGGTCCACCGTTGATGAGCACCAAACGGGCGAAACGGTCGTCTGGTGTTTGGAACACTTCGATGTGGCTAGCTAGCACTACTGGTTGATGTGAGTGCTATAAAATGTATAGCTTCATACAATATTAATTGGCTTTAGGAAAATTGAACGTCGGACCATAATTTTAAACTACAATATAGCGTGTACTACTGATAAGATAACTGTAAGTAGTATAGCGTGTGAGATGTCTCCTGCAAGAATATTGAATAGCGGAACAACAGATTAAATTGTGAAGAGATGAAATGAAAGATCCATTGTGAAACAGTATAGAAAGCATAAAAGGAAGACGAAAGAAGCACTAAAATCGAACAACATATGCAAATAAAGATTTCATTATTAGGATTATGCATTGAGTGGAAATAGCTCAGATAACTGAAACCTGAGCTTCTCCATCAACAGGAGAAGGCTAAAGAAAATTGTCTCTTTCCCATCCTTGGTTAGCATCGTTCCAACTACAAGCGGCACACATACGTATGTCACAGTGTGGTGACAGCTGTCTGCTAGCCAAAATTGTTGACACCAATTTACGTCCCTGTTTACGTCTCAAATCGAAGTCACGAGATAAAACGATAACAAAGCCTAACCTTGAGGAACTCAACAATCAGTCACAGCAGACTTAGCGTAGGCGGATACGATTCGCAGATATATCACCAGACTGTCTAAGAAACGGCAAAAAAGAGATGACAGGAAAACAACCAATCAGAAGACGTTGCTTCTCTGCTAACAATAACGAATAATAATGTACATAAAAACCTATAAATATCTGTTGACTTTTCCAATAAACGATCTGTTGCCTGGTTCTTGTCTTCTGTCGTTACTACAGGAAGATTCGGAAAAGCAAAACAGACCTTCACTTCTCTAATATCAGTGTGAAAACCTACGGTACTCAGCACAAAGAATTAAATCCAAATTTTCAACACCAAAGTCAAGTCAATACCACTATATGATTCAAAGACCCAATGAGTGAGTTACGGGAAACATTCCCAAGAGGCTACTATAGACTTTCATCAATAGCTGCCTTCGCGAGTTTGATAGTGGAGATTAGATGAACAACCAGTAAGGATGATAAAGAAAAGACTCTGGAAACAAACAAAAAACAAGAATCTATTGGCCAACAAATGCACCGAAGAGAACGGACAAGACTATTTCAGTGAAATCACACTCAAAGTATGTCCACGAGTGAAACCCGAATAGAAAGCGATGAGTTGAGCATCCTGGAGTGACTTAAAAAAGATCATATGAGAAGAAAATGAAAACTTGTGAGCAGTTGTACACTCATCAGAGAACATAGCCCGTATGGAAAAACATGGGGATTTAATGAATATGAGAGGTTGCAAAGAGTGAATGCATCTGAATGCACTGGGAACGATCTTGAGCCAATTGTCTCCAGTCATTGGTTCTTAGAATCTCGAGGACGCCGACCAAGTACTCTACAATTCTCTTTATAATTATCATTCCCTTGGGTTCCTAGTGGAACATAGGGCTTCAACTGTACGCCTCCACTTGCACCTGTCTTCTGCTGTACTTTCCACCTGCATCCATGTTACTCCATACTGTTTCAACTCCTCTTCACACAATCTCCTCCACGTCACCCTTGGACGTCCCACTCGCCGCTTCCCTTTCGGGTTCCACTCGAGCTATGACCTGACGCGCGATGTCACCCAGCAGCCTCCTTAGCGAGTGTCCAATCCATCTCCACTTTCTTCTGCATATTTGTTGGGCGATTGGTTCTTGTTTTGTTTGTTACCATAGTTTCTTCCTGGTGATTCTTTCCGGCCATCTGATCTTCAGTATAGAGTGAAGACAGCTGTTGATAAAGGTCTACCTGCAACAGGCTGTTGGAAATATTCTTTGTGACCCGCCGCCAAGTTTCTCATCCGTATAGAAGAACTGACTGACTTGACGTTTGTATTGAAAATCCGAATTTTGTTGTTGATGCTGAGTGACGAAGATTTCCAGATTGGTTTCAGGTTGATGAATGTGTTTCTCGCCTTCCCAATTCTCGATTTGACATCCTCGTCCGTTCCTGCTGCAGTTGAGACAATGCTCCCTAAATAAGTGAAGGAAGTAACCTGTTTCATCAAATCCTTTCCGTTGATGGTGATTGGCGCTGGATGTTGCTGCTGTTGTTGTTGTTGGTTGGTTGATTATTTTCATAACCTCCATCTTGTCTATGTTCACCTGGAGTCCTGTCTTTGCTGCTTCTTCGACTAGTTTGCGGATAAATCTTTCGCCTTTTTCTACACTTTTCTACTTGGCCCAAACTAACTGTCAGAGATTACACAAACTGATCACAGGTTTCTCTTTACCTAATCCCATCTATTTTCCAATCGAATTCTATGTCAGCTAACATTACTTGTTGCGGAAGGCGATGGCTCAGCATACGCAACACGTGTCCTAACCATCACACATTCAGTACAAAACAACCAAACAGTTCATTTTGTCACAAAGACAATATGATTCAAGGCAATCATCAAATAATTTTAAAAATTGTGTGTGTTTGTGTGCATGTGTGTGTGTATTACTGGATCAAGGTTTCATATTTTATTTCTATGTCATCAACTAGAATGGTTGTTTATGAGACAATTAGTTTTAAACAAATAACTAATTGATAAGTAGGTTAATTTTTATAATTAATCAATATAATAAATTCAAATAAATAGGCGTACACACAGGCAAAATCAGTAGAAATCATAGTTAGTTATTTAGTTAGTTAGTAAACACTAACAATAAATAAATTATGATAATTAGCAAGCAGACTTACAGCTTTATGTATTCTAACTTTAAAGCTAGTTTGAATATCATGTAACAGTGAACAGGCTAGCTGATTCTGTAGGCGAAAAAGAAGAAAAAAGGGAATGAAAACAAGAGAACATCTTCACTTGATTTTAAGTTATACAGTAAGATTAGAAAACTAGGTGCAATACCAGTCTCCCTCTCTCTATCTTGTATACATATCCAATGACAATTGAAGTTAAAATGAAAACGTGAAGAGACGGAAGATCCACACCATCGGTTGTTCTGTTGCCTATCTAGAGGTTAGTTGACGGAAACTCAGAGGTAAAAAGAAGACTCAATTTCAAATCAGCTTTAAAAGATTCGACGCGGATGTCATGTGAATGTGTTTCAAGTCATTGATCATTCGTCACTATCGTCCAGCCTAGTCCAACCTTATTTTAAACTAAGTCATGCTAAACTAAGGGGCTGAAGAAAATAATTGATTATTTATGAAACTTTATTTTAGTTGGTGGTGAGCAGCAGTGGTATCCGGGATGTGTATTTCGTCCTACTTTGAACTCGTCATCTGGATGTAAATGTGGGTGATGATGTTCCCGCTAAGAGTCAAGCCCCGTACCCATCGTTCCAAAATATAAGTCTCAGTGAGAACACCACCGATCGCTGAGAATGCAGGTACACCCAACTGACGAGTCCTAAGTGGAAAGAAGTGAGGACCCTGGATTTTACTGTTAGTCACCACCAACTACAATAAATTCATGTTATTCTTTAGATATCGTCAAAAAATCCACAGAGAGGATCGGACATTTCCGTTCAGCATAATGAATCAAAGGGAAATGGAATAATAAAAATATTTTATAAACTGATTTTAATGCACTGAAATGAAAGACCAGTGACTTTTGTGGGTTCCGATGGAAATCTGATCTAAACAGCACCCGAATTTTACAGATCAGACCTATTTACTAGAACATTAAACTGGTAATCTAGAGGTACGCGGTTCCAAGCATGCTGTTCAACACTAATTTTTGTTTCGAAAGCTCAACCATTACTTAATTATAGAAAATACACATCCAGCCATGAATAGAAGAACAACAAAGTTCAGCGAAGAGTCTCTTTTCGGCAAATTCATTCATTCAGCTGTACAATCGCATTTATATATAATTATTCTGTATGTTTGTGTGTGTGTGTGTACTTTAGGACTGTCAAACAAAGATAAAAATAAAAATTAGTTAGGGTTAATGTTTACGCCATCAAAATGTTTCTAAATTATGATGAGTAATCAAAATTGAAATTAGGGGGGGGGGGCGTGAAGATTGGTAAGTATAGACAAGAGTTCCGTAATATGAAAGAGGATGCAAGTGGAGACATGACTCCGAAAAATAAATTATGTAATAGGTAGAAAGAGTAAATAAAGGGTTGGTTAAGAAAAAGATGTTACTAAGATGCCATACAAAAATTCAAAACACAAAACAAAACATTATTAACAAAGTCATAGAACTTGGAATTATACCCAAGGTAGGAGGGGATGGAGAAGTTTCTTCTGTGTGCATAAATCAGGGTTGTCTATGCGGATTGCTAAGGCCTCCTCGGCAGTGCAAAGTATACGGAAGCTTACCGTATACGGGAAGCTACTTTGGACTTTGTAGATGACTTTGAATGAATTCTCCTCGCATACTGAGTGACCAGTGTTGACTATATGTTCGATTATAGCAGTTTTTATTGATCCACTGTTACCTTCTCGTAGCCAAGTGGGATAATGTTCATTGACTCTTTTAGATAAAACACCTATCGAACGGCCTATATATCTTGCTCCACAATAGCGATAAACATAGAAGTAGTTAAATGCGATAGTTTATCTTTGGAGTTGTTGAAGAACAATGGGCGGCTTGAGGATACCAATCGTAATGTAGCTGCAAAGAATGTTCTTTTCAGGGCATTAGCTATTCTTTTCTTTAAAATGTCGGTCAGAAGATCGCCTTCGAACGCCACATTCATGTGCACTATCTTCTTCCAGACAGAGATGGATTGTTCTCTGTTGTTTAGCTTTATATGTTTATCTGTAAAGTGTGGTGGATAGCCGTTTTCCAGTACTGTCTTCCTCAAAAGAGTGATCTCTTCTACTGATTCGGGGCTGCATATTCTGTGGATTCTAGTGGCAAGAGATATTATCAGTGATCGGTGCCCAACTGAAAACGTTTGTCGGCTGGCCGTTCCACGTAGGCTTCCGACACGTGTCTCTGTTAACATCCTATTTCATTATTACGCAACCCTTGTCCATACCTACCAGTTTTCACCCCAACCCCCTCGAATTACAATTTTGACTATTCATCACATTTTAGAAACATTTTGATGACGTTAACAATAACCCTAACTAATTTTTATTTTTATTCTTGTTTGATAATCCTAATGTATACACACACACACACACACAAAATAATATTATGTGAATGCGATTGTACAGCTGAATGAATTCGCCGAAAAGAGATTCTTCGCTGAACTTTATTGTTCTTACATTACTTAATTACACCAACAATAGTCTTGTAATCATTCGCACCGATAATGTACAATGCTTACTAAACAAAAGTCAATAAGACTATATATATATATATATATATATATATATATATATATATATATATATATATCAATTGCTGATTTTTTTCCATTATTATTATTATCATTGTTTCCTTTATTTCCTTGAGGAACATAGGGCTTCAACCGTGCGTCTCCATTGCGTTCGGTTCTCTGCTAGAGTCTTCACCTGGCTCCAAGTCTATCCACACGTTTTCATCTCCTCTTCACATGACCTCCTCCAAGTCACCCTTGCACTGACGACCAACTCATTGCTTCCCTTTCGGGTTCCACTCAAGCAATGGCTTGTCTAGTAATGTCACTTGATGGTTTCCTCAGAGTATGGCCGATCCATCTCCATTTCTTCCTGCCTATTTGTTTCACAATCGGTTCCTGCTGTGTTGGTTCACTCATCGCCAGAGATCTCTGTTGCTGATCTTTCCTGGCCGGCCATCTGATCTTGAGTAGCATTGAGCGAAGACAACTGTTAATGAAGGTCTGTAGTTTGTTTGAGATGCTCTTTATGACGCGCCAAGTCTCTGATCCGTATAGTGAGTAGCACTGACTTCACATTGGAGTTGAAAATCCGGATCTTATTTTTCATGCTGAGTAGTGCTGTTGACCTCCACACAGACTTGAGAGTAGTGAAAGCTTGTCTTGCTTTTCCGATTCTTGCTTTGATATCCCCGTCAGTTCCGCGTGTAGTTGAGACGATGCTTCCCAGGTAAGTAAAGGAGGTTGTTTCTTTCAGGTTCCTCCTATTTATGCTGATTGTTGTCAGTTCTTGTTGTTGCTGTTGATGGTGTTGCCCAGGAATCTTCATCACCTCTCTTTTCTCTATGTTCACTTGAAGTCCTATCTTTGATGCTTCTGCTGCTAACTTGTTGCTTTTAGCTTGCATATCTTCCAGTTTATGGGAAATCAGACATATATCATCGGTGAAGTCCAAATCCTCCAAGTTTTTTATGTGAGTCCATTTTATGCCTGTTTCTTCATTGCCTGCTGTTTGTCGCTTTATCCAATCTACTGCAATCAGGAGGCAGCCTTGATTTTTGTCCATTATACCTCATCAATGTTACAATTTGAATAAATCTATTATTTTTAGAATTTTTCCTCACTCCTTGCGTTCCAAGTGTATAATAAAGCCTCAGACATTGAAGTTGCAGTAGCATTTGTGCTTTTTTTACATGGTGAGATTACCAGCCACACGTCCCTCATTATCAGGTAGCTTATTACCAGCAAGTACACAAAGTGAGGTGTACAAGCACATCGGAGATGGGAATCGAACGCAGACCATTTGTGTGATTGGAGGGCATTCTGCTACTACTGAATCACTGATGCACAATCCATAATATCACTTCTTAACTTATTTTACTGCACTCAGTATAAGTAACAACAGTAACGTGAAGTGACTGCTTCTATGGAGTATAGAGAATTGGCCTGCACATCGACAATAGCATTTTCAACAGGCTACTGTAGATTTTAATCAACAGCTGCCTTCACTGCATACAGAAGATCAGACAGCTGGTCGGAGACGATAAGCAACAAGGAACTCTGGCAGGCTACGAATCAACCAGCAGCCTATCACCCAGCAAATACGCTGCTGTAAGAAATAGAGATCGGTTTGAAACACTCTGAAGAGATCATTGAGTGACATCATGCATGCACCAGGCAGAACCTCGAATGCAACCTAAACGGAAAGTGGGCGACGAGTTGGACATCTGAGTCTTGGAGGCGATGGTGTGAAAAGGAAATTACAGCTTGTGCAGCAGTCCTGGAGTCATCTAAAAAGGACTGCAAAAGTGTGCTGTTTAAAGCCCTGTGTTCCACTCAGAACTCAAGGGAATAACAATAAATAGTGTATCGATTATTTCAATGAAGATTATTAAAATCTTTTAACATACAGTGAGGCACACAATCGTTTATTAATGACATTATAAGTACGGATATCAATGAAGTATTACTAAACAACAGCATGTAGTGAGTAGTGAATATGAACAAAAAGATGCTATAGAGTATCTATTTTACAAATAGTAAAATAGATCTCTGTGTATATCTCTGAAGGTTATTTATTCTAACTCAGCATGAAATTCAATACTATAATGAAGATATAGATAAGTTGAACAGGTGCTTTTATTGATGACAGAGAAAGCAACCATGCACAACAAATGTAACAAAAATATAAATTTAATCATTGTACTTATTTTGTATTTAATTTAGAAAAGCATTAAATTTCAAAGTATATTCAATTCATTAAATGTTAACAGAATTCTCAAATGCTAAGTACTTTTAGATGAAACTATGAGTTAATTTGTACACCCATGACAATGATTACATACATCTCTATGGATTGAACATTCTGATTATATCATGAAATTAGCAATGAAATCTCAAGTTCTATCACACTAAACTGAGTGAATAATAGTTGGAGGATTTCACCATGATCCGACATCGGTTAGAGAACCATTGCATAACTAGCTGGGAGTAGAGGACAGCTGTTTCGTCCTGGTTCCGGACTCCTCG